TATATATATATAATTTCTATGATTCTAAAGAATTTTTTTCTGTATAACCATTACACAATAAAGAAAGTGGTGGTGACGATTTGAATTACTATAGGGTAAGAAAAAGTCCACCTTCTCAGCCCTTCCTTTGTTCATTCAGCCTCACCAAACCCTCACCTTCCACACCTGTTACTGCTAAACCTACATAAAAGTACACCCACATTTAAATTTCAGCTCCCCAAAATGCCACTTGACTCTAAATCTAGGACTTGAAGGAGGCCTTTTGTTCCAAGCATTTCTTTCCCTAATGTTTAAAAGTACTTTTCTGTCTTTCATCTTTAGGTTCTCTAAACTAGAGATGCCCTCTAGCGGTCCTGGAAAGTCATTAAACCTCAATTGGAGAAGCCTGAATTCTAGTCTTGGCTCCGCTGCTAACTGGCTAGATGGCCATGGGTAAGTTCAATAAACCTTCTGGGCCTTTGTTTCCACATCTGCAAAAATGAGCTAGTGGCACAAGATGCTTCTAGGTCCCATTCCAGTTACATTCTTGTACTAATGTCATTTCCAGCTCATGAAAATTTCACTATATAAAAAGAACTTCCAAGTTTAGAGTTCATTATAACAAGATGTTGCCCTTATTTTAAAAGTAGAGCAGCTGGAGAAGACAAAAAGAAATACAAAATTAGAGAACATGTCAGTAAATCCCCAAAGACTTAATGACCACAGACAATAAAAAAGAAAACATTGCCTCTGTTTTACACACACACAGACACATGACACATCACACATGACACACATTCACACACACCACACATACACACACCCCACACATAAACACACACATATATTCCCCACACACATACATACAATCACAGATTTTAGTTGAGAATCTGTCTGAAATAATTAAAACCTCATAATAATTTTTTTCATTTGATCTCAAAGGCTCAAGTTTAAGTTCTATCACTAACCAACTGTGTCCTTGCATCTCTTAGCATCTTTGGACATCACTTTCCTTATTTGCAAAATTCAGAATTAGATCTCCTCCAACTGTAGTAGTATTGTAGTAGTATAGGATTAAAAAATCCTTTACACTTTATAAAGTCACTTTGTTTGACCTCACAAAGAATATTATTCACAGCAGACATTTTCATTGCCATTTTATATATAAGAAACTATGGTGCAGAGAGTTAAACAACTTTCCCAAGGTTACACCCAGGAATTAACTCTTAGGTGTTCCAACTTCATATCTATGTAGATCTTGTCTTTCATGTAGAAATATTTTTTTCTTAATATTTTTCCATTTTATTTTGAAAATTTTCAAAACTATAGGAAAGTTGGGGAGCTCTGGTAGCATAGCATAAGGCACTTGACTGCTAACCAGAAGGCTGGAGGTTCAAATCCACCAGCCACTCCTCAGAAGGAAGGTTGGGCAATCTACTTCCATAGTGATACTGCCTTGGAAACCCAAGGAGGGGTCTCTATGAGTCACGACCGACTCGATGGCACATAACAACAACAACAACGGAAAGTTGAAAGGATAGTCACAGCCTTGAAAACCCTAGGGAGCACAGTTGTACTCTGAAACATGGGGTTGCCATGACAACTTGACAGCAACTGGTTATTTGTTTGTTTTTTTTGGTACCATCCACTTAGATTAAACAATTTTAATGTTTTTCTGCACTCACTTCACCTTTCTTTCTCTCACTCACTCTACATTTACAGTCTTTGCTGAACCATTTGAAAGTGAATTGCAGACATCATGACTCCTCACTCCTAAGTATTTGAGCTTATATAACTTCCAAAAAAAAACCCAAACTCACTGCCATTGAGTTGAATCTGACTCATAGCGACCCTTCCTTGGGTTTCCAAGGCAGTATCACTACAGAAGTAGATTGTCCAACCTTCCTTCCAAGGAATGGCTAGTGGGTTTGAATCGCCAGCCCTCTGGTTAGCAGTCAAATGCCTTAGGCACTATATTCTTCTACATAACTGAAACACCATATCTCACCCAAGAAATTGAACATTAATATAACAACACAATCTAATAAGTAGTCTATATCCTAATTTCCCCAATTATCCCAAGTCTGTCCCTTGTAACCTACCCTCCTATGCAGGAGCCAATCAAGGATCATGAACTGCATTTGATCACCAGATCTCTTTGTTGTTGTTAGCTTCTGTTGAGTCGATTCTGACTCATAAAAACCCTATAGGACAGAACAGAACAGTCCCATAGACTTTTCTAGGCTGTAATCTTTGCAGAAGTAGACTGCCAAGTCTTTCCCTCCTGAAGCTGCTAGATAGGTTCAAACTGCCAACTTTTCGGTTAGCAGCCGAGCGCTTAACCACTGTGCTACCAGGGCTCCACACAGATCTCTTCAGTCTCCTTTATTCTGGACCAGACTTTTCTCTTTTCTTTTCTGTTCTTTCTTGAGATTGATATCTTTGAAGAGTATGAACTAATTGGCTGTTGTACAATCTGGATTTGCCTGCTTGTTTCTTTATAATTAGAAAAGTTTTGAAACAGTGAATATTTGGGAGGACAACTTTCACAAAAACATGTGAAATACAGTAAGTCCTCAGGTTACTAAAGTTTGACTTATGGGACAACTCCTACTTCAATGTTATGTAAATTTGCCCTCATTTTGTAATGATCAAACCCACCCCTACTCCAAACAAATTCTTCATCACCATCACCTTCACTTGCTACATGTGCAGCTTCTAAATCTTTGAAGAGGATTTGAGCCTTTTCTTGCACTAAAAAAACAACAACAACAACAAAAAAAAAACTCACTGCCATTGAGTGGTTTCCAACTCATTGTGACCCCTCCTTGGGTTTTTGAGGTGGTATCTCTATGGAAGTAGATTGCCCAACCTTTCTTCCGAGGAGTGGCTGGTAGGTTTGAACTGCCAGCCTTCTGGTTAGCAGTCAAATGCCTTAGGCACTACCACCAGAACTCCTAAGTAGGGCTAATTAAGAACCATATGCTGATTCCAACTGACCTACAAATTAAACTAAAAGATCAATTTAGGAAGTGATCTCATTTGTAACCTGAGGACTGCCTATACTGCTTTCCTAACTAAGGGGAGCAGCATTCCCCCCTCTTCCACCCCACCCACGCACCCACCTCCACATACACTCACAGACTCACCTTTTCAGGAAGCAGGGATCAGGATGAACAGACGAGCATCTCAGTTAGAAAAAGCTACCCCAGGACTGTGTCTGGTGACTTAAAGCAGACATTCTTAGATTGGACAAAAGAGTAGGAAATTTTCCAAAACAACATATTGAGGGAACTGATGTTGCCATCTCTTTACTTCACCAAAGAAGGACATTGAAAACAAAACAAAACAAAAACCCACAACAAATTACCCCCTATTATTTCATGAATCTACTGTCATTTCATAAATAGAGGTCATTTTAACACCAAGAGGTAGGAGTAACATGTCTGAAAAAATATTTAAAAAAAAAAGGATAGCTTTCAAAACAGACAGTTGGCCACTTTGTACCAATCATATTCCGTACATACACATCTTACCTGGTCCTTACATTTCTCATTTTGCTATGAACTGTGAAACATTTGTCATAGACAATAACAAGAACTTGGAACCACTGACTGAAAGAAAACTACCAGAAGCCAAATTACTAATAATACCTAAAAGTAATTGCTTTGTCTTCCTTAATTCCTCTGCCTTTTGCTAGAGTTTCTGGGAGAGGAGAGAGGGCAAGAAGGGCAGTCTATAACCTCTGTACCAGGTTGTCACAAGCCATATCACCTGCTGAATGTGGGGCCCCTCCACCTCACTTTCCTACCTTCCCTGGAGTCTCGTGGTGTGTCCTGAGAGGTGTCTCGGGCCTGGGGACACTGGCTCCTTCTCAGCCTTGCTACCTCTTCACTGCTGCTTTCCAGCCTCCTGGCCAGGTCCTCATTCTCCTCCCTCAGTTTCCTCTTCTCTTCCTCTAGAGCAGACCTGTCGTGGAGGAGGTTGCTATAGGCCGTCTCCAGCTCCCTGGTCTGGGTTTCCAGCTGGTCTCGCTCCCTCCTCAGGGTGCCCAGCTCCCTCTGCATCCCTTCTCCCATGTCCTGTGGTTGGGCAGGCTGATCCCTGGTCAGCTGCTGGAGCAGTCTTTCCAGGGAGTTAAGCCGGGCCTTGACTGCCTCCAAGTCTGCATGCTGGGCGCTGCTATCTCTCTGGAGGTCCTGGATGGCTGACATGGCCTTGCCTGGCTCAGGGCAGCTGGACTCATTGGGGCTAGCCACACTGAAGATATACTGGCATCGGCCTCTCTGGTCGTTGGCCTTCCGGAGCTGGGCTGCCCTGGTCCCTACACCCCACGCTAGGCAGGCCAGGAGCAGCAGCTGCACAGCTGGCATCATGAGCCCACAGCTGCAAAAATGTGCACAGAAGCCCTCAGTGCAGAGGCTGGGTGAGGCTTCCTCTGGAAACTCTGCTACACAACAGTGTCAGGACAAGCCGCCCTGCCGGCTCATGCCTGAGCTCCAGGGAGTTTTATATGGTGCGGAGAGCCAGCTCTACAAGTTGGGAGAAAGAAGTGGCCACGTGAGGCCGGGTGGGGCATGCACAGGGGGTTGTTTTCATACTACCAGCAAGATTCTGCAAATAACTGTTGTGGTTACCTAGTGTTGCTCTGACAAATATACCACAAATGGGATGGCTTTAACAAACAGGAGTTTATTCTATTACAGTTTGGAGGCTTTAAGTCCAAGCTCAAAGTGCCAGGCTCTAGGGGCTGGGTGAAAGCCCCTCAACCTTGGGCTTCAGTTTTGCCTCCTGCTCTCGGCCCACTGAAGCTAGAGGGTTTTCTTCACTCAAACAGCTGCTGGCTGCTAAGGCTGACAAGCCCAAGGTTGACAAGTAAAATGACACAGTCCTGATGTTACCAAACCACATGGCAGGCCATTAATTCAAGTCCATTGAAAGTCCCAAGGTCGGCAGAGCATGTCATGCTGCTGAACAACCACAAGGCTACGTGCAGGGTTCAAGCATGCCATAAGCTAGAGACCATTCCTAAAGCTGTTTCTTATATATGGGAAGCAGACCACATACCCAAAGCAGCTATTCAGCTGCTTGTGGTAGATCCCACCATGGAGTTGATTGCCAGTCTCATCATGGGGGATAACTACCGCCAGCTGCCTAGCCACTCAACCAGGCCCAGCCAAGTTGACAAACAACCTTAACTACCACAATAACTGTCAAAAAATCTTTTGAAATTCTTTAAAATAAGGATGTCTTAACCCTTTACACACCCTACATCCTCATTATAAATAGTCCCAATACAGCACCCCATTTTGTACACACACACTCACATATGCCTACCTCAGCCAGCATGACTACTAGTGTGCCCATTTCAACAAGAATTTTTCTCTACTTTGTATTTTCATTTACTCTGCACACACTTAATCAAGAACCTGCTCTGCACCAGGCACCATGCTAGGAACCAGGGATATAGACATGCCAAAGACATAGTTCACCCCTGTGGCAGTGGCAGAGAAATAGCAGGTCAGTTAGAATAATATAAGGACATCACTCCCCACTGCCTTCAGGTTGCAGCATTCCTGCAGAATTAGTTTAAAGCAGAATCCCTGCCCTACTCATGGCTTTACAACCAATGTGGGTGTGCATTTGGGAGAATATCTTAATTTCAGTCTTGTATTTTAGGTACCAATGTCAATGTTAGCCTTTGCACTAGTTCTTACTGTGTATGTGTGTGTGTCCATGCCATGAACCCTATTGATGAAGTCTTTGGAACCCTTCTCAGAAAGACAGTTTATAAAATACATAGAATTATAAAGGAAGCAAAGGATACTAAAATACAATTTTTTTTTTTTTTTAATTTGAAATACACATATATTTCTTTACTGGTGCGAAAGGGGCAGGAATGCTACATCTTCTGACCTCCTCTAACTGCACAAGAGGAAGACAGAATCACCATCAATAGCCCAAGGCCTATTCCTGCAAGGCCAGACATGCTGCCTCCCTCCAGCCCTTTCACCAACCCTGACACTGACCGTTCCCCCCGCCGCACCCACCACCTTTCTGCTGGCTTCAATAATTCACTGCAGTGGTCACACAGAACTCACAGATTATGGGGTTTAATAGGGAAGAACCAGGCTACAATTCAAGTTCAGGAACAATGCTCAGTCTCCTTCAGCCTGCTGTCTCTCAGCCAACAGTCTCTCACAGTCTCTCTCCCAGCAGTGCCTGTCTCTCAGTGTCTCTCTCAGCAATGCATGTCTCTTGCATCTCTTTCCCAGCAGCATGTGTCTCTCAGGAGCACATATCTCTCAGGAGCTCATGTCTCCCAGGAGTAGTTTCTCTCACAAGTGCATTTCTCTCAGCAGCACGTCCCTCTCAGCTAGCAGTCAGAGAGAGACTTCTACCTCTAGGAGGCCTCCTTTTGAGCCTGGCAGAGTGGCCAAACTAGCCAATCATAACATCAGAATTCTAAGTACCTAAGAGACAGCAAACTTCCCAGAACATTGCTTTGTGCCACTCTCAACAGAAATACCCCAGGTGGATAACTTTAATAATCAGGAGCTCCTCAGTTGCTCACAGCAAATTCCACCACAGAGTTTACAAAGACTTATGGCTAGAAAGGCCATACCAGGTAATTTACTACACCACAACTGGCACATTAAGAACAAGATCTAGCAGAAAGGTGTAATTCTAAAGTAATATTAAATGTAAATGGTATTTTATGATATTGACAATGACTATAACATAATCTGAAAATTCTGTGATTTTTACTAGTGCTGTGAAGTTACAAGTACTCTTAATACTACTGTGGATTTGGGGCTATGTCTATACTGGAAGGAAATGCTAAACATAACTTTTAGTTAGAAGGCAGTGAAAATAAAAAACCAAAAAAACCAAACTCATTGCTTTCTAGTTGGATCTGACTCACAGCGACCCCTCTTTGAGTTTCTGAGGTGGTATCACTATGGAAGTAGATTGCCCAACCTTCCTTCTGAGGAGTAGCTTGTGGGTTTGAACCACCAGCCTTCTGGTTAGCAGTCAAATGCCTTAGGTACTATGCCACCAGAGCTAATAAAGATGCTCTTTTTTTCACAGACTTTCTGGATCTCAGGTTAAGGATCTCTGCTTTATATCAATAAACTCAAAGAGAAAAAAAAAAAAAAAAAACACCAGCTGTACCAAGAGCTATAGGTTGTTGTTAGGTGCTATTGAGTTGACTCTGACTCATAGCGACCCTATGTACAACAGAACAAAACACTGCCCAGTCCTGTGCCAGGCTCACAATCTTTGCTGTGCCTGAGCCCATCATTGCAGCCACTGTGTCAATCCATCTTATTGCAAGCCTTCCCCTTTTTCACTGACCTTCCACTTTATCAAGCATGGTATCCTTCTCCAGAGAATGGTCTCTTTTGTCAACATAACTAAAGTAGGTGAGACGAAGTCTGTTCATCCTTTTTTCCAAAGAGCATTCCAGCTGTACTTCTTCCAGGACAGATTTGTTCTTCTGGCAGTCCATGGTATTTTCAATATTCTTTGCCAACACCACAACTCAAAAGCACCAACTTTTCTACAGTCTTCCTTATTCAACATCCAGCTTTCACATACCTGTGAGCAATTGAAAATACCATGGCATGGGTTAGGCACACCCTAGTCTTCAAAGAGACATCCTTGCTCTTCAGCACTTTAAAGACATCTTTTGCAACAGATTTGCATAGTGAAATATGTGATTTCTTGACTGCTGCTCATGGGTGTTGATTGTAGAACCAAGTAATATGAAATCTTTGACAACTTCGATATTTTCTCCACTTATTGTGATGCTGCTTATTGGTCCAGTTGTAAGGATTCTCATTTTCTTTATGTTGAGGTGTAATCCATACTGCAGACTGTAGTCTTTAATCTTCATCAGTGAGTCCTTGTGGTAGTTAAGCTGTGTGTCAATGTGGCTGGGCAGCTGGATATCGTTATTCCCGATGATGATATTGGTAATCAACTCCATGATGGAATCTACTGGAGCAGCCGAGTAGCTGCCTTAGGAATGTGGTCAGCCTCTAGTATATAAGAAGACAGCAAATCAATACATGTGTGGGAGCCTCATCAGTCACTTTTAAAGTAATGTTTGCTTTTCAGCAATTATATGTTGTCTGATACCAATAACATCTTCAATATTTATAAAATAAATATTTCAGATTTACTCTGGCAGACCCATCTCAAGATTGAGGAAAATACATATTTTGCTCTAAAGCTTCTATTCTTATTTGATAGGTTCTAAAGTTAGACCTGAACTTCTCTGTTACAGGTGACTAAAAGGTATTATTCTCAGTTCCTGAAGCAGATAGTAACCATCACTGCAATAATTTTTTTTTTTCCCCAAATCCTCCAGTCAGCAAGAAATAGGTTCAAATCTCTTTGCCTTTAGTCTTAGGAATGTTTTAATTTTAAGGACTAGGATCATTGCTATGATGCCAACTCTATGGAGTAAAAGAGTTTCTGATAGAGACCCATAGGTAATCTTACTTCTTTCAGTTTGCCTTGTGAAAGCCCTGGTTGGTGAACATGCTTGGCTGCACTGAGGTTCAAGTCCACCCAGAGGTGTCTTGGAAGAAAGGCCTGGAGACCTACTTCCTAAAAATTAGCCACTGAAAACACTATGGAGCACAGTTCTACTCTGACAGGTGTGGGGTTGCCATGAGGTAGACTCGGCAGCAACTGGTTACCTGTTACACCTTGTGAACTGCTCGAGACTGCTCTGCTTGTAGAGGAAGAACATAAACTAGAAATCAGGCCTCTGACTTCCCTTGAATTGATATCTTACTGCCTTGTATAATCCAGGAACATGAGATCTGTGATTCCTGTGGCCTTTCTAGTCAGTTCCTATTTCACGGTATATGAATCCTTGTTTTACCAGCCTATCCCTCTCTCTCTTTTTTTTTCCATCCCTTTTCTTCCTTTTCCCTAAGCTGCAGGCCAGTCAGTGGCTGTTGAGTTGTGTGGGTCCTCTTCAGGGGTAAAGAGTTTAACAATGTTTGGCATTTTCACTTGTTCCAGGCCAGGTTTTGAACACCAGACAAAAACTTCCTCCAGTCGTTCTCAATGTTCTTCATGGTTCACAGCAAAGGCCATTGTCATGCTTAGGGAAAGAAACAGTGGCTGTTTGGTTTGTTGTGCATTTCTCAATCCTGTGGCTCACAGCCATTTCTTCCCCAGGAGTCTGACATGACAATGATGGATCAAGCTCTTGCCTTCTGCCTTTCTTCACCGCCTCCACTGCATCTCAGCTTCTTGAGCTCTGCCTGCTGCCTTCCCTCAGCATGTCCTTCTGAACTAGAATCACAAAGCAGTGTTCACAGAACCCTAGAGTCACAAGTGCACTTACAGACAA